TTTGGTCAGAAGTGTCACATTATTTGTTTAGAAGTCTGTCTTCACTAGTAGGTTGTAATCTATGGGAACAACTAGTCTCAGTCATCTTGTTATTTCTAATGCCAACCCTAGAACTAGAAGATGTTAAATACAAGTTTGAGATACAGGAAAAAAGGAAATGAAAAGGGAACAAGAAATAATTTTTAGGATATGACAAGAATCGTCCAATTGAGTTACTTTCTATGGGATTTCAAGGTTGGAAAATAAATATATGAGTCTTCCTGGAAGATCACAGTAAGAAAAGAATTCGTAATATCTCTGATTTTATTCTTCTCCATTATAAAGCAAGGCAGGATATAAGATAATTAGTCATTTTTCTGAAGGAGAGGAAGACTTCTTGCCAAAGGAGATGGCAGCCCACTGGGAAGTAAGGGCCACTTGGCACTGATCTATCTTAGTATTATATCCACTGCCTCCAATCTGCATAGAAGCTAAAGAGTGAAGGTCATAGATCTGATAAAAGTAGCCAAAGTAATCATTTCAGAACAGTAAAACTCAAACTAAATGCAGAATCATGAAGTCAGAAAAAGCAGGAGGAAATACCTGGGGATAGTGTACCTCTTAATTTCTCTCTGTGCCTGTTATTTTTTTTTTTTATTCTCTAAAATCTGTTCATAAAATATAATATTCTTGCAGTGGCTCACTAAATTTGAGGTCAGTAGTTACTATGTTTTGACTCAGAGTTAGGGCATGACAAAGGTTGCTATACCAGAGAGGATATGCTCTGTGCACTTCCAGCCAGTGAACTGATGGAGACCTTTGAATGTCTGAACCATCATCTGAGTTATGTACATCTTGGCTGCACCTTGAGTACAAAAGGAGTTTCAGACTTCGACACTATAACTACCTTTATGTTAAGTTATCTATAGTGTAACATTAAAGAAAATAATTACTTTAGTCCAACTCTATTCCCCAAATTATTGTGATTACTTACTTGAGAATGCGCACGGTTTCAGCACCAAGAACAGCTCCTGACAGGGAAGGTGGGTTCCTTACAAGTTCATTGATTTTGAAAGAACTATTGGGATGCAATGGATACAAAATTCTCTAAAGTCAAGGAGTGTTGTTACTCAGTCTTCCTCCACATATTTCCCTTCTTTACTTAAAAAGGCTGTTGGTTTTATTGTTGGTGATTAATTGTAAACTACGTTTGAGGAAATCTACACAAACTGTTTTTGAAAATGAACTATTTCAGTCAACACACTAAATTCATTATATGATTTCCTGTATTTCAAGGAATAAGTTAATGCTCTTGGATAAACTAAGTACAATAAAGTGTAAGTTCATAGAATCTTACTTAATTTGTTCAGACCATAATATTATCCATACCTGTTGGTGGGATAACCTCTTTTTGTAACCTCAGAAGATAAACCTAAACAAATATTGACAATATGCTTTGAGTCTCCAAAAACCTAAAGTAGATTTTTTTTTAAAGCTCGTGGTGTCATGTTTTGACAGATTGAATGGTAGAATAAAAGCATCTAGTGTCATATGTTCTGAAAACATAAAAATTAATAAATGATTCCTGTGGGTAAGGTAAACAAAAATGAAATCATTCTCCCTCAACTACTTCTAGGGTTCTAAAATAGAAAAGAGACATGAAGTATTTAAAGTTAGCATCTTTTAAGTTAATATATTTCTCTTAAAATAATGCCCAAATTCACATCTTCTTAACTGTTTCATATTTTAGCAAAGCAGCCAGTTTTATTACTTCCAAGATATTTTACACAGTGCCATGTGTTGAAAGCACCCAGGGGCTAACAATTATGGCCCTTGAATCAGAGGCTTATACTGTTTTCTATTCTTCATGTTCTAGAGGCAGTAATGTGGCAAATTTATGTATTTTCTTATTTGAAACACATGTCCTTTTCTTTCACTGCTCAGAAGGATGAAATGAGATTGTTGATATAGTTACATTGCACAAGTTTGATAAGTTGGAATGTTTGTATTTGTAAATGTAAAGGTTGAGGTAGGTGTATCTAGTAACCTACAAAAGCAGGAAAGCACCAATAGAGTCTAGTGAGAGAGCCCAGACCAGATGCTGAGGGCTTGGGAGAGAAGTTCCTTATCAAAATATTTAAGCACTACAAAAAAATCTAGATAGTTAAGGAATATCAAACCCTGTCAAGCCTATACTGTTAGTGACTCAACAATAAAATATGTTTCCAGGTGCAAGAAAGAACTACACGTTTTACAACTGCTAGGAAGGATATTTCTATTGTGACAGAATCAACAATTAGAGAATGCATTTACCCCGAAGTATATAATTGACTAAATAGAGTTTATTCCTGTTTTGGATATTTGAGACACCTAAGTGTTAATTTAATATAGTGGGAGTTAGCTTTTGTTACCAAGGAGGCTACAACTGAATCCTGAGGTTGGGCCAAAATTATTCACACCTGCAATGAACACTTGTCTTATATCTACTTAAGTCAAGCACTTTATTACATTTATAAAAATATGTATCTATTTGGACTAGATATATTTCAAGTATGATATCACTACCGGTTTGGCATATTGATGTTACAAGGATTTAAACAACCCTGCCAAATCTCTAAAATAAGAAGTTTTTTAAGCAGCTAATAACCTAGAAAAACGAACAACAGTTTAGAGACCTAGCAGGATTACAAGTAAATGAAAATCTAAGTTGAAGAAGAATGAGGAATGCATGGAAACTAGCCAGAGATCTGAAGCCAGAGAACTGAAAGATCAAACAATTCTTTTCTAAAAGGAGAGAAAAAAATAGTTGAAAGGTTAAATAAACACATAAAAAAAATTGTTCTTTCCAAAGAAAGTTAAATGTGTGTGTGTGTGTGTGTGTGTGTGTGTGTGTGTGAAGAAAGCAAAGGAGAGGAAAATAAGTGTGCCCTAAATTATTTTCCTTGATGCCAAGGAAATTTCTAAAGTAAATTTCTCATTTTTGTGCATTATAGAAACAGACATGCAAGGATCTATTCAGGAACGTTGACTTAATCTATAAATGTTAGTTTAAAGATTCTCAGTTTGGGGAAATATATTAGACCCACCCCTGTGATTTGTTGGAGGAAAAAATTCTTCTCATCCCATCCATCTTGGAGGAAGGGGTCAGGATCTGGAGGAAGGCATTTATTTTTATTAGTTTTTTAAATTAAGGTAACACTGGTTTACAACACTGTACATGACTCAGAGGCGTAGGATCACACCCCTCAGATGTAAGCGAGCACCCACATCCATCATCACGGAGTCCCTAGTGCTGGACCACAGTCCAATGGGCACCCCAATCTCCCTCAGCCCACTATCTGGGAGCCTCACTTCTAAACCAGGGGGGTTAATATCAAACAGTATCTTCTATGGGTTCTGATTTCATGTGGCATCTAGAGGCATGCATTTGGTTGGTGATTTACTGAGACTGTGAAATGATCAGAGAGGATCTTAAAAAGAGAAAACTCTCCTGCCCTGGGATAGGAGAAGCTACTTAATTGGACAGGACCCCAAATTACATCTCAGACTTACTTAGCACTGATGTCTTCCTCACAAAGGAATCCTGGGCGAGAGGGAAGATGTAGTATAGAAAGAGGGAGGAGGAGGTACCAAGATTTCAGCAGATGAAAGGGGACATTTCTCCAGGTTGGGAGACAATATCACAAAGATCTTGGTAGATCTTGGAGGGATATTTGCTAATCCCTACATAGATTTATTTTCTCCAGTCTTTACTGGACAAGGGCCTAAAAAGATCAGATAAAGCTGAGAATGGGAACTCACAGGGTGTTTTCTTGGCTTAGGAGAGAAGCACGGGAGGGAGAGAGAGTGCTGAGAGCTATTTCTAGTTCAGTGTTCTGGCTAGGGGAGCATAAAAAGCAAGAGGGCCACTGTGGGGGTTGTTTCGTGTAAGTCTGACTCCCCCACCACCACCACAAAGAGCTCAGTTCTGGAGGCTTGTGTGGGAACATGAGGTGATGGGAGGGACCTCAATATAGTCTGTATACCTTGGGGGAGCACAGGCAGGAACCCAGTGAAGAGCCAGAAGTAGTTCAAGAGTTTCACCCCTGTCAACAGCTCCGTTTTGCAATGTCAGTGCTTAAGCCCTGGGGTAGGAGGAGGAAAGTGCATAAATCCCAGACTCCTGCACTAGAGGCAGAAGTCAAAGGACAGAGCATTCCTGAGGTTCCTCAGGAGAGCCCTGAGGTGCTTGGAATCCCTTCCAGGCTGCTTAGGACCAAGGAGAGTCTGGTTACAAGTTCAGTCCAACAATCTTCCCTCTGTTCCTTCTTCCTCATCACCCAATCCCACTCATGGCAGAAAAAGGGCCCTTCTGCTCTTAGCTCTGTGCTCGGAAGTAGGGCTTTGCAGCTAGTAATTGTGACCAAGTGTTCCACAATTCCTCCTTTCTTACCTTTGCTTTTCCTTGACCAAAGTGGACTCAGACTTCTCTCCTTCCTGCTGGTCCCTGAATATAACTTGCCTTGAAATCTGAGAATCACCGAAATGCAAAACATCCTCTCTCACCCCCTGAGCCCCCAAGACCGTGCCCCACATAAAGACATTTCTGGTTAAATTAAGCGAGGCATGATTTCAGTTTGATCCCTCTCACTGCCCTGTCGTCCCATTTTGGTCAACTTTTCCTACCATAAAAGAGGCCTAATTCTGTTTGGTTTTGAGATGTTTTATTTTCTTTGATCAGAGCCATCTCCCTATTTGCTGTTGTCTGACACGCACAGTGTAGTCTCCTGAACTTCAACTCTCCAAAGGAGACTACATTTCCAAATGAGGCTGGAGGTTTGCACTGTAGGGGCCGCGGGCAGGGCAAGGGAATTCTTAGTTGGAAACATTAGCGATCAGTGCCTGGAACTCCTAGTGTGCTTTGGGGGAGGAGAACCAAGAGTGAGGGGTGGGACCGGCGGGGTCATAAGTAGAAGGAACCACATGAGTTACAGCAACCGCACTTGCGCGAGAGAGCGGTGGGGGGTGGAAGTGGAGGGTGGTCTCAAAGCCTGGGCACTCGGAGGTCGCAGAGCGGGGGCAGGCGGAGGCCGGAGAAGCCAGCAGTAGCAACAGTAAGCGGGACGGAGTTAGGACCGCTCGGAGCGCCCAGGTCTCGAGGTAGTATAAGGTTTGCAATCCTTCCACTTGCAGGCAGTTGCAGGAGAAGATCTGCTTTTAAGTGAAACGTACCAGCCACCCCTCCGAGGGCTGCGGCTTCCTCGGGCTCGCTTCTTTCTTTCTCGCGTCTCCGGCCCTCGCGCTCACTCTTTGATTTGTCAGCGCCCCTAAGTTTGCCCAAAGCTCGCTGCCCGCTCGGAGCACCGTCCGGCCAGGCGCCGCGGGCGGGGGCGGGGAGCCGGGGCACCGCAACCGGAGGCTTCGGGGGCCATGTATATTTCATCAAATGGACTTTGGGTGCGTCGCGTCTCGCAGCCATCACCGCTATGTGCAGTGACATTTCTGACTTGAGTGGAGGAATGCGCGAAGCAAGCCCGGACGAAATTGGTACTAGAGGATCATCTTGGCGCCAATGCTAATTGTCCTGATTTATGTCCCTTCTGACTAAGCTCAACGTCTTCATCTGAAATAAAATGAAAGCTGTGCCAAGCGGGGTAGAACCTCCGGGCCGCTGGTTCTGATCCCCGGGAATCAGGAAATCATCCTGCAGCTTAAAAAAAAAAAAAAATTAAAACGAAAGAGAGAGAGAGAGAAAAAATAGAATAGGGAAAAAAAAAATCCCTCAGTAAAAGTTTAAGGCGAGAAGTGGCAGAGGCAGTGGCGCGAGGAGGCGCGGAGGAGAGCCGGCGAGCGGGGGACCGGGCTGGCAAGCCCTCCCGCAGGCTGGGGTTTCATTATTAATATCACTATATTTTTGGAGGGAGAGGCACCTTTCTCATCCTCTCTTCCTCTCCGCCCACCCCAGTTCCCTCCCCCTCATCTACCTGTCAAAGTCACTGATCTTTTGCATTTCGGAAGAGGACGTCAACGGGAAGGAATTCCCCCTCTCGGCGCGGGCTCCGAGAGGGGGCGACGCGCGGGCGGCTCCCCCCGGGGGCGCGCGGCGAAGGTAATTAAGCTGCCGGGAGTGGCGGGCGGGCGCGGGGCTCGGGG